CACACACACACACACACACACACACACACACACACATCCATTTTAGCTCTCATTTCCCTCCATACTCTCAGTAAGAAATCATCACGTAAATTGGACGAATGTGGCAAATCTCTGTAAGTGGCTCCGATCGAGTAAGAGACAGAAGCGAGAATTAAGTGTCCTAATTTCTAAGTCCCTGTCTCGTTATAGAGGCCAGATGACTAGATGGAATAATTCATTGTGTCAATTTAATTCTTCTAGAAATGGGTCATCTGGGGGCCTAATTTGTGATGTTTGAAGATATCTTTTGTGTGATGTGTGTGTGTGTGCACAACCCTGGAGGTGTTCCACATTAAAAATAAGAAATCTCCCAAAGCTGAGCTGTGTATAGTAATGCTCCTGCAGTGTTCACAAAACTAAAAGTGGGTTTAAATTCAAAAGCATTAGAAAACAAATTTGAGATTTGCAGTTTTATAGATTAGGCTGTAGTTTTATGCAGACTCTGATCCTGAATGATATTCAATTATCAGCTTTTTGTCCAAAATATCTCATTCAAGAACTGAATTACTTTGTACTAATTATTGTTATTTTGTTGTTGTTTTTTTTTTTACATTACTTTCTTTTTTACATTGCATGTTTGCCTGCAAARAGGTTCACTGCCAGAGGCTATGAGTTGCATATGTGCCACATTCTGTTGGAGGAATTAATTCTCTCCCCAGTGTTAACAAGCTCGCAGTGCCAGCACCTGTTTCCATTCCCTCCCCACTCACCCACCGATGGGCAAGTCACATTCACTTACTGATCCCCATTCCAATGCACAGCTCAATTCAGCCAGGCGTGCTGCACATWYGGGTCACCACGCAGGTCACTTTATATCTGTCATGTTTTGGCAGCTGCTATGTATTCAACATTTAGTGGGAAAAAAATGGATGTGAAAAACACTGACAATTAAAAAAATATGTCACACTGTAACTCACGTTTTTTCTGTCTGGTTAAGAAAAAAAAGGAAGTTGGCTTAAAGTACTGAAACACTTGTGAAAAGTGTCACCTCTGGCCAGCAGAGGAAATTCATGACTCACCGTAAGCCAAATGAGGAAGCGACAGAACACGTCTGGTTGCACTGAAAACAAGAATAGTTGTGTTGAAAGTTGTGTTTTTGCTCAACTTTGGATCAATTAACATTAAAATTTAAGTCTTGATGGTTCTATTGGGACGACTTGAGCCTGAATTAAACATTTAAATTAGAAGTGTTTCATTCCATTGCAAATGATTATCGGTCATGAATCATTGCTGTGTCTTTATTAGCTTATGATGCAATCTGATCGTGTGGTTTCCCAACAGGAAACACATTATTTTTCCTGTAGCTTGCTTTAATTTATCATAAAGGAAGTACTTAGGAGTTTCTTTAACCCCCAGCACATGCTTGAATTAGTAATCCCATCCAGAGTGAGGTAAACCCTACACAACCACCAGGTCGAACCTTCAGGGTTACAGTTTAACACAGATGCAGTTTGCTTTCAGTGACACGAGTCATAAATAATTTTGGGACAGGATATCAAACACGCAGCAGCCACAGAACTGCTGCGGCTAAATGATTCATGCTGTAAATGTGTCAAATCCAAGCAGCCTGAAATGTCTGCTTGGCCTCAGCTCAACATTTTTTATCGTTTCTGCTTTGACATGAAGCTGGACTTAATGTGACATGATTTATAAATTTCCTCAAGCCTGCTCACTTGTCTGTATTATTATTATTATTGCACAGGAAAGGGGTTTTCTGTGATCTATTGTGGACTGGAAACATAAACATTAAGACAACTAAGAGGAGTTCCTTCTGTCGTTACTAAATACAGTATATTGTCTTTACAGATTTAACAAGAGGCATGCTATCATCATATTATTCATAACTCACTGTAAAATGACAAGATTGACTTGGTAACCCAATTGGTGCTATTTAAAGAAGAGATTCTTAACCTATGGGCCACGGCCCAATTATGGGCCGTGAGCGCCAAGTTGAGGGCCTCAAAAGAACAACAGTTTTTAACTTTGGGCCGCAGAGGGCCGCGGGACCGCATTGATTTTGAATAATGTGCAATAAACTTTCTCACCACTAGTAGCAGCAGTGCACCACTCAGATGTTTAACAACTTTTTTATATGTAGAAGAAACTTAGAAACCTGTTGAGAATGGAAACTTATTTTAAATGAAAAGTAGAAGCAAAAATGAAAGTAACTCATCAAAAAAAAACACCAAAGTTTGTCACTAATATGAAGTGCAGCCTCTGGTTCTACCATGCAATATTTTAAAAGTTCAAAACATTATCAAGCACAGTTGCAGATACAACTATATTTTAATTTGGACTGGAAATGAATTTTTTTAGTTTATTTTTTATTTTTTAAACATTTTGAATATATTTTAAAGAAATTTTAAACTTTCCAAAAAGCTGTTGTTACTGTTATTGTTTGTCACTAATA